ATATATATATATATATATATAGATTACTAAATGCAGCTATATATTATTAATGATCGTTTCAAAAGCATTGTATAATATCAATTATATAATATTAGGGATGTATTGGAAATCCTGGAAATATACGATATCCGATCTTATTCGGCCTCTTTTTACTCTCCCACCGGATAGCCGCATATTATTAATATCCGGCAATATGTCCAGCTGATATTTTATATTCATGTCATTAATGCTGAATTCTATTTTCTTCATCTTAACTTTCTATACAGTTCATCTTCCTCTTTTTCTTTTTACGTCAGCGAAATAAAGAAAATTATTTAAAAAGTGAAGCGTCATTTTCGGTCAAAGTTAGATGTTAAACTAATATTTACATATTATGAATGTACTTTTTATGTATGTATGTATTTTTTAAATGAATTGATTTATCACAGAAATATGACTACGCGCCGATTATTTTCAGACTTTCAACACAATCAGAAATATTAATAATCTTCCCAAATTTTAATAAGAAACATCTCAAAACCTCTAAAGAAAATTATCATTGCTATTTTTCTAATTGCTTTCCTTTCTATCTTTTTCTTTTAGATAGAGAAATTGTATATCCGGTGTCACATTTTTTTTCGGATATCTGAAAAAATTTTGCATGTATACGTTATAAATATGTATAAACATATATAATTATGTATAAAATATGTCCATACATGTTCATACATTCCTCTTTTTGTTTTGTAAAAATACTTTTTAGTATAATGGAAATAATAATAGTAATATGAAAACATAAAAAATAATTAAAGGGATAATTTTCACATTGCTTATTTTAGAAAAAAACAAGTTCGGAAGAATATAAAAAAAATATTCATGCACAATTATGCATTATTATATATATTATTATATATAAGTAAAATCCAAGTATAAAGTGTCTATAAGAGCCGACACTAGTTGGTTATGTGTAATTATTCAATATACATTAAATTAAATAGACATTAAAAAATAGACGTTTCAATCGCCAAAATTTGGATCCTTCTCAATACAAATATTTAATACTTAAAAAAAGTATTTGTCGTATAAATAACATGAACATCATAAATTAAAAAATTATATAAACGGATTAATGCTGGTTTATTTGCTGCTGTTTCTGTTTTTATATGTCTTTATGTATCCAAGAGCTCATTTATTTTAATTGCCAAATTAATTATTAATCAAATTTAATTTTATATTAAATTCTTATTATCTCAAAAAGAATAATGTGTCTCTTGGTTCTAAACTTACATGACAAACGCTTGAAATAACCTATGACTTCATCCGATCGCACGCTCGAAATCATATGACAAACATACTCTAACTAGAATACCAACGTTTTGAATATAATAAACAGACATAAGCGGACATTTGAATATAATAAAATTAATAAAAAAGCTTTAATTGGAAAAGAGCATAACAAAATCTATAATTCGAGAATAAAAAATATTAAAAACAATAAAATCAATCAGGCTCTAAAGAAAATTCTAAAAAATAATAAATAAAATGCCAATTTGAGCCAACACTGGTTATTAGTGTGTATTTTTATAATTTATTCAAAGTGAATATTAAACGTATACGTTTCGACCTATGGTCAAGGTCCTCTTCAGTACAAAAAAAATATATTAACAAAATTATATAATGATAGCGCATACGAATATAAACTAATAATATATAAAATGCGAGAAAAACCGTAGTGATGATATCCGAGTTAATCTTGGTCATTAAATTACTAAGTAACTAAAAAGAAAAATATTTTTTGTTCTAAAACGCGCGAACCAAAGATTAAGAATAATTTAAAAAATGCTAACATGAGATTATATGCGAAAAATGGTAAAAAAAAACTTACATGACAGTCAAGATTGAACTGTTTCTATAAGGTTTTGTTGTACATCTATTAAACTGTTCCATTTGTGTAATACTGTGTAATACAAATGTGAATAAATTAAAAAGTTAATATAAATAGCAGTAAAAATCCAACTTTAGTTCACTTACATGAAACAAAATTTAAAGATATTAGACACGACATAACTGTTTAGTAGACAGATGTAAAATGAAAATTGAGAGAAACAGTGGACAACAGAATGTACTTACAAAGACAATAAGTAAAAATATAAATAATAAATAATAAAATATAAACGATATAGATTGGAAACATTACGTCTCTGAAAATAGATCTATATACAACGGATCAAGAGAAAGTGTATCGTTTTGTAAATTCTTCAGGCCTTGTTTTTGTTTTTTATGTATCATCTCTGATAACAATTTATGTAAAATTCTTTTATGTAAAATTTGCTCTTTGTCTAAAATATGTACATTATTCTAATCAAATTCATGAAATAAGTCCATCCAATGTTGTGTGATAACCGAATATTGGATCGTATTTCTATTAATATGATTCCTATGTTTATTTATGCGCGTTTTTAGGTACCTGTTTGTCTGTCCAACATACGACGCATCACAGTCTTTACAGTCAATCTTATATACTACATTGGATTGAGAAGATTGAGGCACATCTTTCTGAACTTTGATAAATCTATTGAATTTATTTATGCCTCTATAAGCCATACGTAGAAATGGTACATTTTTTAAGAGCATACTGATTTTTTTTTAAATTAGATTTTTTAAGAACAACTTTAGTTAAGTATTAATTGTTTTGATAAATCAGTAATTAATGATCAATGTAATCTCAGATTGAACTAAGGGCGTCCGATTATATGGATATTAAATTCAGTATATGTGATCTGAATAACAGTTGGTTCAAAAATCGGCATAAAATTGAATAAAATTATACATAAGTATGTATGAATATTTTTCAAAATTTTTTTTTCTAAAACAAATAATACGAAAATTATCCCTTTAATTTTTTTTTTATTTTCACACATTATCATTATTATTTCTATTACACTAAAAAGTAATTTTACACAAGAAAAAGAGATGTATGAAGATGTATGGACATATTTTATATATGATTATATGTGATTATATTGATATATGTATGTTCATACATATTTATACATATTCATGCAAAATTTTTTACCGGGATATCCAATGTCCGATAATTTTACGATCCAGTACATTCCTAATTAATATAAACCAATATATTATTATCATATTTATTATCATATTTTGTAAATTAATAATTTTGCACAAATGCACAGAACATTCTAGTAATATAATATTGTAGCAATTTCAGCAAATTAGCTAACATTATTTGAAATCATTTTAATATATCAAAATGACGTTAACTTATTTACTAGAACGTTGCAATGTTGCTAAAATATTATATAATACACTGTTTTATAATTACGTTCAATTTTAATGCTCTAATTTTAATGCTGTGATGCATCGGAATGTATAAATATATTTGTGTTGCATAGCTCGTTAATACGCTGCATAATATGTCGAGAGCAAATTGCACTGTGATTTGTGCAATACATCAACCCAGTAGTCAAATAATTTCGCTCTTCGATGACATTATGGTACTGAGTCAAGGCAGAAGTATGTACTGCGGTCCAAAGAGCGAGATTTTAAAGACGTATAACATTGCCGGGTTCACGTGTCCCAACTTCTATAACATAGCTGAATTTGGTAATATTGACTCTACCGATCCGTCTTGATTACATAAATTAAAGGAAAAGATAAAAGAATTTGAAAAAGAACATAGAATAGAATTGACATAGAATAGAGCTATACGCATTTTTCTCATACATTTTTTATAACTTAAAAATTTGTTTTTTTTTTATTATACTTATAGTGTAAATTTTATAAAATTTTAAAAATATTTTTTGCAAATTTTGAAAAATAACAGATTATTATTATTTTTTTATTTAATATTTAATATTTAAATAAGAATCAAAATAAGAGATAAATATGAATATCTGGATTTATCTGTG